TCCATTGGCGTAAAAGGAAAAACAGGGAAGAAAAATAAATACATGGATCCCTGAAAATCAGTGATGACACCTTGTGTGCTCAAAAAGGGTAAGCATGTCCTGCTCCACTGGAAACATCCGCCACAATTGGCCATAAAACGCCGTACCCAGCAATGCCCCCACCATATGACGTTGCAAAGTCAAATAGTCAAAGACAGTTAACATGGAGCAGCTGAATAAAGGTGAGGTGGGTGAGGTGAAATGGGGTTTAACGTTGCGTCCAAGATAATTGCACTTATATAGCGACGTGCATGTACGTGTGTGTGTTTGTGTGGCTGCTTGTACTAGTCCGGACCGATGCCGATTTATAGAGCTAGCTCACTGAGATACCATGCCGCAGTTTAACATGAATACCCCACTCAGACACAGTATACTGACTCCGAGCCGACCAGTCCTTGTTTAAGCCCCTTAATGCCGAGCGCCAGACAGGGTAACAACAAGTACCATATTTTAACGTCTTTTGGTATGGGGCCGGGGATCGAACCAAGGACCTTCCGCTCTCCGGGCGGACGCTCTACCACTAGACCACGGAGGCGGCCCAGCTGAATAAAAGCGACAAAACCCTTTACCTATTTAGAATAGAGTCGATTGTATGATTCCGTTGATTTCAGGAGTATGTGTTTAGGAATCACTATACAAAAATGATGATACCAGGATTTTTTGTAAAGGTGAGCGTATCCTGCCCCACCGGTGACTTTCATCACAAACACGCCCGTTGGAATAGAATTGGTAGAATGGGTCCCGAGCATCCCATTGCTGGTCGTACATTATGATGGTGGTGCCACTCGGGGGTTTAGAGTCGTGCAAAAGTATTGTACTCTTGCCAGTGACAAGTAAATCCATTCTCAATCAAAGTATGAATATTGACTAGCGGTGTAGAACTTTGATTATTTTGTGTCGAGTCCCAAATTGAAACAATATGTAAACTCAGAAATCTGTTCGTAAAAGAACTTTTTGTGAAACCAAAACCAACAACCAACAAGTGCCATACAATCAACAAATGTATAACAAATTAACAAAGTTTACAAATCAACACTAATTACTGCACAACAATTACAATGGCAGTACACAATAGAATGGTAGTACAATAGTCAATGGTGGTCGGTAACATGATGGCAGTGGTATCAAATAAAAAAATACAGCGGCGACAGTGGTCAAGCTTCCGCGATGGGCAAGGCAGGGAATCAGGGATGATGAGTGATCCTCAGAAAGCTGGTTTCGATGTGATGAAATGCCCGAGAGATGCGTAAACACGCTCTCGTCTCCTATTATACATTCTACCTAGCTGCTGGAAATTTCTACACAGTGCCCTCACAACAAAGAATATATATTCCACTTCTTTCCATAACAGACTACACGGTACGCGGTACACAGGACAGGAAGTTTACACACCACACGAGCATCTAAATATAGCAAATTCCTGACGACTGCTAACATTTAAATAGTACCACACTCCTGACGACTTATCAATGTCCAAACACAATGCAATGAGTGTCTACCGAATCTTAACAGGAACACTGTAACACAGTTACAATCATTGTTTAACAATAAAATACACAGCCATATAACAGTGTCATTTTAATATCGGCTAGCATAACGTACAGCCACTGGTGACCAAAGTTATTGCATAAATCCTGCTGGGGGATCACGCAGGTAGAAGGGATAATGTAAATCCCCATGATCCCTAATAAAAGGGTCTAACTTTGTTTGCTGGTGGTTTATGTCCTATTTTTAATTGATACCACTATGTATCTAAAATAATACTGTTTGATCTGTGATATTTATCATGCCGTATTACTGTTACCGTAAGAAATAAACACGACTGAATTTCTCAGTCTGTTTATTTACCTACCCTCCCACCCGGAGGTTTTATGTTTCGATGAAACATTTGTCATTTTTAAATGACCTTTGCCATTAAGAGGAATCGTTTGTTTTCCTTTTCCAGCCCATATGGCACTGGCGCTGGATTTCTTGTTGGTTGTCATTTAAGACAATTACATTGTCCGTGTACTACTAGCCTATCAACCAAGGATCGGATGATGGAGTTTAAATGAATTTAGAAATGATTGAATTGTTCTCATCGCGATATGCTGCAATATTGCCGATGCGATGTAAAATTGTAACTAACTTACTCACTCACTAAAATGGACCTGTATTTGCGTGGACGCGTGAAGCCAAAGTTGCTTCTTATTTGGCGGGGCGGTCGGGTAGCCTAGTGGTTAAAGCATGAGCTCGTCACGCCGAATACCCGGGTTCGATTCCCGACATGGGTACAATGTGTGAAGCCCATTTCTGGTGTCCCCCGCCGTGATATTGCTGGAATACTGCTAAAAGCGGCGTAAAACCTCACTCACTCACTCACTCACACTTATTTGGCAGGGGCTACAAACGGACAAGCATCGTACTCTGATTTGTTGAGTAATCTGATTCGTAAGATACAGATACGTCATGTCGGGTCTGGTGGCTTGGTTGACCGTGTTACGTGTTACGCCGTACTCCGACCATGTGGATCATAGCTCGTGAAACTAATCGGAAGACCCCGACTCGAAGGTCCAGATTCGATTGTTCATAGGCCACCGTCTTATGGCAGGTGTATAAATTACATCGAGAGTGCCAAGCATCAAGTCGAGTCATATGTTCAATAAATACACTGTTATCTGTTTCAATGTCATGCTTTGCAAAAACTTTCACAAATGTTGTTCCTTGAATGCATGACATGCTTCAGGCAAGGAAAAAATACAAGTGGTGACTGCACAAGGCAAATTAATCAGTGTCAGTCATCAGACTGATTTTGATCAAAGGCGTTTTGATTAGAGTTTTAACAGTAAAGGCTTCTAAACAGTTTCATAGTAGACAATGTCATGTGGCCATGAAGCTGCCGTCTTTTTAGTTGACTTGCCTTTGCATGTGTTTGTGACGATGTCACCGGTAGGACAGGACACGTAAACCTTTTCGCGTACAGCTGGTATAATCTCTTTGATAATGATTCATGCACATATGTTTATCATATATTCGGAATATGACAATGTGCAGATGTATATTATGATCATGGAAAGGATTTTGGAAATATTTCATTTGATGAGCATAACACTGGCATAGAAGGACATAGTTGCACATAATTTATCAAACCGTGTTCCCAACATGAGGGCAACACTGTAAAATATCTAGTTCACGCTATCTGAGATGTCTCAGGCCATTGCTTGAATACCGGGTGATATGTGGCCGAGACGTGTGAAGTGCCACAACAAAAGGCGAAATTTTAGATTATTGTAGATGTCAGATCATCCTCATGGATGAGTACCAACTGACACATACACCCCTTTTTATTTCGAAAAAAATCTTTATTTCTGTATAAATTACCACCAAAGACAATAAATAGATCTTAATTGTGCACCCCCCTTTTTCCAAAAAGCTGTATCCGCCCATGCACATATAACCGTCGTGCTCAGAATGAGGATCCACCATGCACGTCCTTGTGAACACTTCGTCGTAAGGAATGATAAGAGAGATCTTTTTACCCAAGCTTCACGTCATTTTAATACCACACAAGCAATAGCCAATCCCCAGTTTGGCACCTAGGACCTTTTAATTGTAAGGTGAGGTGAAATGAGGTTTAACGTCGCGTCCAAGATTATTGCACTTATATAGCGACGTGCATGTACGTGTATGTGTTTGTGTGGCTGCTTGTACTAGTCCGGACTGATGCCGATTTAAAGAGCTAGCACACTGAGATACCATGCCGCAGTTTAACATGAATACCCCACTCAGACACAGTATACTGACTCCGAGCCGACCAGTCCTTGTTTTAGCCCCTTACTGCCGAGCGCCAGACAGGGTAACAACAAGTACCATCTTTTTACGTCTTTTGGTATGACGCGGTCGGGGATCGAACCCCGGACCTTCCGCTCTCCGGGCGGTTTAATTGTAAGATATAATATGACTCACCAACCTGTAATTTCTGTAAGGGTCTTTCCACACGGACCAGATGTTATGACCAACCAAAGAGCTCTTATCCTGTGTCATATGTAAAGAGGTGACTGCTGCGTCTTAAGTCTTAATTAAGGTGCGTCATATCCGCAATAACCATTGTGACCCAACGCTTCCTTATCAAAGACCAAAGGCCGATACTCTGTGTAAATGTGCAAGGACTACTGACGTGTTGGACATATTTGAGATACGACACAGGGGTCGGCAGATATGAGACAAGACACATGGTTTGATAGATATGAGATACTAGACAGTGTTGGGCAGATATGAGATACGACACAGGGGTCGGCAGATATGAGACAAGACACATGGTTGGATAGATATGAGATACTAGACAGTGTTGGGCAGATATGAGATACGACACAGGGGTCGGCAGATATGAGACAAGACACATGGTTGGATAGATATGAGATACTAGACAGTGTTGGGCAGATATGAGATACGACACAGGGGTCGGCAGATATGAGACAAGACACATGGTTGGATAGATATGAGATACTAGACAGTGTTGGGCAGATATGAGATACGACACAGGGGTCGGCAGATATGAGACAAGACACATGGTTGGATAGATATGAGATACGACAAAGGGGTCGGCAGATATGAGATACGACACAGGGGTCGGCAGATATGAGACAAGACACATGGTTGGATAGATATGAGATACTAGACAGTGTTGGGCAGATATGAGATACGACACAGGGGTCGGCAGATATGAGACAAGACACATGGTTGGATAGATATGAGATACTAGACAGTGTTGGGCAGATAGAGATACTCGATAGGGCTAGAAAGTTATGAGATTGGGTCGGATAGATATGAGCAGATCTTTCGAATATCAAAATATCAACATAATAATGGTTTAAGCCAAAGTGAACGATACCGTCCCAAAAAACATTAACCATTGTGACCAACAAATCCCCATAAAACAACAAGGATCTATATTCTGTGTGATATGTATAAGGACTACTCACGTCGTTATAGTGTCTGTAGTGTTCTTCACACACGCCGGCCTTCAGGTAGACACTGTGCAGGTAGCAGAGTCGCGGCGCTGTTGTTGTAACCGAAAATGATTTACACGAGTCTTGTCGGGCACATTTCACAGCACACTCACTCTTCGTCAGTACCGTCACTGACGTTGTCTTAGTTACGTCATCACACGTCATCAATCTCTTGAATCCTTTCATCACAAGTTCAGCAGCGACCGCAGAGAGGACGGCGGAGAGAAGAAAGTAACTTGGGAATAATTTCTTTAGAGACATTCCAGCCACGTCGTATATATTTCTGTAAGCTCAATCCTGTCCTTTATACGTGCAACCATCAAACTCAATATGTCCCGACTGTACTGCGTTCAATGCAGGAGACGCTCTGTGGCTTTAAACGATTCAGCCAATACGCACATCCAATTGTTTACTCAATGAACAGGTATTGGCTGTTCAAATGGGGAAAAAGAAACACTCCAGTGAAATATCTTGGAGATAAACATGCTGTGTTGTCAATGTGGAGCTACGTTATCTGTCGATTTTACAGCGCTGAATTGAAGGCGGAGCCTGTTTATCTTCATTCTACCATGATCATACAGAACACGAATACTTCTATTGCGTGAAGCGCCACGGGTTCAGCCCCTATGTTTTGAGTTGCTAGGATCTTAATTACGATATCACCGACAACAACCTATAAACAAAGTATGGTGCTGTGTATGCTCATACAATGTTTAACACCATAATAACTTCACGCGACGCGTATGAAAGCATGCAGCACAGCAACTTTGTAAGACTAAACACCTATCGTCCTTATTATGACGTCCCGCCGTCATTATGTTGCAAAAAGGTATGACGTTACAGAAGTATATATAAAAGCGGGGAAAATCTGACATCAGTAATTAAAACAAGATTCATTCCTTTGCTTGAACTTTAAAATTTCACATTATGACGTTTAAAGAGGGTCCCAAATGATTCTATATTTGTTCTTCAGGCATTAGTACATAAATATATAAGGAAAAGGGAGGTGCAATTTATTGTTTGTTTGATGATTTTAAGAAAACGATTGATATTGTTGAAAGAACAAAACAACTGTCAACAGATTAGGAGGTATCAAACCTAAGGCACTGAGAACAATGGGGAGTCTTGACACATTTGCCATATTTTTACGCAATCACATTAGTGACAAACAGGACAGAAAGTTCATTGATATAAAGGATTTCATTGGGTTTATGAAAAGGCCAAGATTAGGTCTGAGGCTGTATACGGGCCTATTCCATAGAATTTTGTATTTATCAATTTCCATGACGTCCTCTACATATCCTGGGTCGTACCATGGATGGACCTCTATGTCAAAACCACAAACATGGTGAAGACGGTAATATAATGATCGAACCACTAGATCATGTCGCTTAAAATACTGTGTTTGTGCCAAAACTGGGCATCCAGTGACAATGTGTTGGACAGTCTCATTAAATTCACTACATTTCATATTTACATTTTGATGCAAAGACACATATTGACGGTTTCGAGTGGGAAGTGACTGGTCCTGAGCTGCAAACAGTAAGCCTTGTTTTTCACTTTTCAGGCCAGCCGACTTGATCGAAGGGACATAAACTGCAAAGAATTTCGATGCAGTGGTCGTTCAGAAAGCCTCTCCTTGAAAAACTGAGTCTGGGCCGATTTGATTCGATGCTTGGTTGACACTCATTTCTGTACCATCATACAAAATCATCAACAAAATCAACATTGACATCGAGATGGTGTTCCACATACTTGACTCGTTTAAGGAAACTGTTGAATGCCTTGTTTTCATCATGAGTCTTGACAGGCTTCACAAGAGGATCATCATACAAATAAATGTGTGCAAAAGTGCACAATACAATTCTATCATGACGAACCTACACGTTTATCAAAACACGCCCTCCCATTGTAATTGGTAAATATAAACGATGGAGGGATGATTTTTCTTCTTCCTCCTCTTCTTCTTCTTCTTCTTATTATTATTAACCGAGTCACACGCGCTTATTTCTATTGTCCGTTTAAGACCTCCCTCATTGGACATTGGAAATCTGAACTTTTCGTTCGAAGTTTTCCTCTGTAAAGTTGTCGATAGGGTTCCTTGTGACTCAAATACTGCTACCCACAGATATGTAGATCGGTAGTTACTCGATATTGCCATAGCAACAGTCCATGAAACATCCTATCTTGTTTTAACGGGCAAAAAGACTTTTTCTAGCGCTCCGACATTACTTTTAGTACCGGCTTCTTCAGTGCGATATAAGATAACATACATGTTTCAGAGCGTTGGTGGTACTTGCATTACTGTCCCAGCGATTAGACCATCGACTGGCACGACAGTCTTCAAGGATGGGTAATTCAATAACCATAAAGAAATAAACAGAAAGGAAAGAAATAGAAACACTTCATTGTCATTTATTAGAGACTGAGTCTGGTGCTTGGTTTACTCCATGGCGACAGATTCTTGTTCCTCCATATGTGTAGGGCAGTGAATCTACCAAGGTGAGGGCAGTGATCTAATATCATAGCTGAGGTTTCTTACACACTTATACTACCTCAGTCTGTCTTTCCAGCATTTCTAAACACGTGTACATGAGTAGGTAGCATGCATTAACTGTGGTAAGGCCATAGTAAGAGCCGTTAGAGCTCATACTTGGTCTGTTGGGCTGAACCATTGGTCTATTGCGTCACAATTCACTGGCAAGAGTTGAGCCCTTCCGCCATTCCAGGATCCACTGATTATGTGGGGTTTGTGCTCTGGTTGAATCCCAGCTGCGCCATGATTAACTTCCTAGTTTGTCAATACAACTGTCGTTGGGAGACCAAAGTTGTAAATGCCCATAACTTAGCATTCAGCATGAACACTCTTTGCATTCTGGTTTGCCGATATAGAGAGCATTGTAAACATCACTGAACTGTGCCTATTGTGGCGCTTGCTATACAATATTCGATTGATGACAGCCCATAGTGTAACAAACAATATGAAAAAATATTTTCGTGTTCAAAGTGTTTAAATGGGTGGATTTAAAAGTTCGAACTGGAAAGCGAATGATTCTTAAGAGCCTCTTGTACTCTAAGTTAATGACTTGAACTACCAGACAAACATTTTGTGTTTTTTGATTTGCAGGTGTTATTGAGTACTTGTTGTCTGGAACTATGACGTTGTCACGATTCGATGGACGACGTAATTAACTTGAATACTTGAATAGCAAGTACGTGGAGACAAGGCAACTAAATCGAGGTTGTTCCGACATATCATCGAACCAAACCTTTCAAATTTCTGATATTATATTTTTATGCAAAAAGTATCCTGGACACAATGTTAGCAGGGCAGTTTCTGCTCACCTGAAGTGCTACAACTACTTTAAATACTACGTCTATCCCTCCATGCATTTATCTTGTTCTCACTAACACAATACTTAACATGCTATTATTTGCTGATGATATTGTTATGTTTTCTTTTGCAGTAAGTGGTACAAAAACAATTAAATGTATTCTTGTAACTAAATGTAATTCTTTTCTTTGAAATGGGGATTAGAGGTACATTTGAATAAAACAAATACAATACTCTTTTAAAATGGTGGCATAGTTACCGAGAGGGAAAAATGGACTCATGGAAATGCTTCTCTCAAGTCTGTAACTTACTATAAATATTTGGGTATCATGTTTTCTTCTAAATTATTGTGGTCAGTAGCCTGTTAACAACTTGCTATTCAGCTTCAAAGTATGTATGTTTATGCATAAATTGCTAAAACAAAATAAGTATATGTCATGTTCAACAGCATGCAACATTTTATATTTTATAATTGCGCTCATATTACTATATGGTTCGGAAATATTGGGAACAAAATATTATGCTGCCATCGAAATAGTAGTTTTTTTGGTATTGGTAAATATACCTCAAATATAGCAATTCTTGGTTAAACTGAACGCTGCCAAATGTTTGTGCATAGCCAAGTAAAAGTGTTTAAATACACGATAAATTTACTGAGCATGAAAAAAATTTCAGACATCCCTGTACTTCAGGCATATGGCCATAATACTGAATAAACCTGTCTGTCATTCGGACTTTTGAACACCTGTTGGTAATAACCTACATTTTATATTGTTTGTCTTAATCATTGACAATGATGAATTTCACATCAGCAATATGTTGAATCAGTTTATTTTGAAAACCTTCAAGAACTATTATTGTCAGACCCAAATAGTCACAAAACTAAGATTGTGTATTCAACTCCTGTAAACACTGATTACTTGAAAAGGAAAAGAAAAGAAAATAGCTTAAGCGTAAATGCGCGAATGCATCTTGCTTTTCTATTACCAGAACAGAGGCGATCTGACTGCTAAATCCTCACAATATCGATGATGTGCACAAATAATGTTTTATATCAGCAGTTATCACCTGACGGACGATCGGCATTGAAAGATACTATTTTTCATGACGTGTTTCGTTGATGTACAAGGTGTGAACATATCATTGTTGTTTGCCCACGTACTGTGGCATCAACGACTTATGACACCAGAAATGTATGAAAGTGCTATGAAAATGTCTATGAAAAAGATAGTCCTGCTATATTCATGCCTGTTCAGAGAATCAAAGTGTTGCTGCATCATTCAAATACAAGCGAGGGACTTGCTGTTACGCCTCTTCTGCAACATTGCAAAATGAACAAACGCCTTTTAATGCATCTTTCACTGAAGCAACTTTCAATATGGTTACCTAAAATGAAGGCCGAAATAATTTATGGAGGTTATAGTACAAGCAAAAGGTATAAATGAATCTTATCTAGGAATACATTATTATTGTAGTTCATAAAAGTAAATACAAGCCACAAAACCCTTTCCATATTAATAAGAAATCTCTGCCATGCTCTGAAATAGTTGTGTTTACTTTGCTCAACGTTAACCACATCCAATTTCATTACAGATGTGTAAAAACGTTTTGAAATACACTCGTACTATCTAAATACTGTATCTAACGCGAAATCTCTCTCTCTCGTAACATTTCGTCGTCAAATGTCTTCATGGCAACTTGCAATTAAATATCCCTTGCTAATTATAATGTACTGAACATCCTTTGTCCAACTTAACGAGCTGTAACTTTGTTTACAGATTTTGTAGGGATATCGAACGCCCGCAGAAATGAAATTAATTATCTGTCTAAATATTTCCAATGTTTTTCATAAGGATTGATTGAGCATTGATGCCTGTATATGACCATGAAAGGAAATATGACATACAACTCATTGATCTGCCTTGCATTCAAAACGTATATGTGCCAATATAATCTAATACTAGTATATGTTAAACGTGCACATGAAATGACATATTTCCCAAAACCTTTCCATTATCATAGTAACAATCTATATATCTTTGCAGTGTACTATTCCGACTATTTAGCATAAACATGTGTGTACGATAGAAATGTTACCACGTGTTCGCAACAATATGAGCGCTTCTTGTAAAAAGGGTGACGCCCGTCACAAATACGAGTCAAAATAGGAATTGCGTCAACATGTCTTAAA